TATTCTCTCACCCAAATCGCAGCAAAAACTTCCAGAAAAAACTTCAAATCGAACGATTTTCGCAAAGCTTTTCGAAGAATCATTCAACGAAACTCTTCGTCGAAAAACGAAGGGTTTCCAACTTCAACGAGTCTCAAAAATCGTTTTCGCACAAAATATCAAGGTAAAACCTCACTTCTTTCTTCGAAATCCATCCATAGAACAATAGAAACAGTATTTCAGTCACTCTTCGTGTGAAAATTGTAGTAAAACTTGCTACATTACCGAATCGTTAGCATGCATTGCTGAACTGGTGTAGAATCTGTTGTGTTTTGCTTCGTTACCACATGGTATGGCGTGGTAAACTATGATTGCACGTTATAAAAAAGCAAAAAACTATGTTTTGCTTTGTTACCATATGGTAATGTGTGGTAAGCTATGGTTTCATGTTGTAAAAAAGCAAAAAAACCATAAGTGCTGCTGTGTTTTAGTTTGTTACCATATGGTAATGTGTGGTAAGCTATGGTTTCATGTTGTAAAATAGCAAAAAAACAATAAGTCCTGCTGTGCTTTAGTTTGTTACCATATGGTAATGTGTGGTAACCTATGGTTTCATGTTGTAAAATAGCAAAAAACCATAAGTTCCTCTGTGTTTTAGTTTGTTACCATATGGTAATGTGTGGTAACCTATGGTTTCATGTTGTAAAATAGCAAAAAACCATAAGTTCTTCTGTGTTTTAGTTTGTTACCATATGGTAATGTGTGGTAACCTATGGTTTCATGTTGTAAAATAGCAAAAAACCATAAGTTCCTCTGTGTTTTAGTTTGTTACCATATGGTAATGTGTGGTAACCTATGGTTTCATGTTGTAAAATAGCAAAAAACCATAAGTTCTTCTGTGTTTTAGTTTGTTACCATATGGTAATGTGTGGTAACCTATGGTTTCATGTTGTAAAACAGCAAAAAACCATAAGTCCTGCTGTGTTTTAGTTTGGTACCATATGGTAATGTGTGGTAACCTATGGTTTCATGTTGTAAAAAAGCAAAAAACCATAAGTCCTGCTGTGTTTTACTTTGTTACCATATGGTAATGTGTGGTAAGCTATGGTTTCATGTTGTAAAAAAGCTAAAAAACAATAAGTGCTGCTGTGTTTTAGTTTGTTACCATATGGTAATGTGTGGTAAGATATGGTTTCATGTTGTAAAAAATCAAAAAAACCATAAGTGCTGCTGTGTTTTAGTTTGTTACCATATGGTAATGTGTGGTAAGCTATGGTTTCATGTTGTAAAATAGCAAAAAAACAATAAGTCCTGCTGTGTTTTAGTTTGTTACCATATGGTAATGTGTGGTAACCTATGGTTTCATGCTATAAAAATGGAGGAAAACATACGTCCTGTTGTGTTTTACTTCGTTACCATATGGTAATATGTTATAAGACATGGTTTGATGTAATTACCATATGGTAAAATGAGATAAATATATGGTTTGATTTCGTATGGTAGGAAACCATTATCGTACCATATGGTATATTATGGTAAAAAGCATACTAACAGACTATTACTAATTTCTACATTCAGGTACACTATGGTAAAACCAAGACACAGTTTTCGCACAAGGTGCAGCCCAACAAGAATATCTGCAATTGCAAGGTCAATAACAGATGAACGGAAAGAGAAACTTGACATATTAGGCCTAGCAGGCTTAATGTCAATCAAGCAGACAAAGATAAACAACCATTTTGCACTGTTCGTAATGAACAAATACGATCCAGAGAAAGAATCGTTCAAGTTACCTGACGGGACACACATGAAGATATCACCAATCGACTTTCATAGGGTATATGGTCTGCCGATGGGGGATAGGGAAGTTGTACCTCCCACGATTTCTTGGGATGACGCAGCAGATTATGCAGTAGAAACCCTACTCGAAGTAGATGGAACATCCACTCCAAGGGTAAAGCTAAGTCAGGTAGAAAAAGATCTTCCTACAACCAAACTGACTAAGAGATGGATGCAATTGTTCTTTCTGCTGGTCACCGGAGGCTTGCTGTGTCCAACTTCAGCACCTATGGCTGAACTCAACATGCTTGAGTACTTGAAGACCGAAGAACTGAAACATTTCACCAGCTACAACTGGTGCAAATACTTCTTCAAACACATGAATGAAGGATTGAAATCACCAAAGCTCTATGTCAGTGCAGATCTTCACTTCCTTACAGTAAGTCTCCATTCCCTTGGCCATTTCAACCTTGTTACTCATATATTTTATATATAAATGATACTCTTTGAAAAAAACTAATACAACTATCTGCATAAAAAGGTATGCTTCATGTACAAACTGGACGAAATGGCATTCTCAACCCAGCTTCGAACACCAATAGTAAGCTACTATGATGATAACAATGTTGATAGCAACTTTGAGAACATTAAGAGCTACTACAATGGAAAAGAGTTGAACGAGATCGAAAAGCTTGCCAACATTAATGACGATGAGGCTGATGGTGCAGCTGATGAGGAAGAGGAGAATGAGCCAGTCTATGAATCACCGAAAAGACAAAGAAACAAAAGTCCAGACCAGTCATCATCACTGAACTTTGATTTGAAGAATATCAGAACAGTCAACCAAGTAAGTACAAATTATCCATATTACAGTTGTCCAAGTTTGTTACCATATGGTAAGGTGTGGTAAGCTATGGTTTCATGTTATAAAAATGGAGCAAAACATAAGCCCCCGTTGTGGTTTACTTCGTTACCATATGGTAATGTGTGGTAAGCAAATGGTTTCATGTTATAAAAATGGAGGAAACCATAATTCTTGTTCTGTTTTACTTTGTTACCATATGGTAATGTGTGGTAAGCTATGCTTTCATGTTTTAAAAATAGCAAAAAAACAACAAGTCCTGCTGTGTTTTAGTTTGTTACCATATGGTAAGGTGTGGTATGCTATGGTTTCATGTTATAAAAATGGAGGAAAACATAAGTCCTGTTGTGTTTTAATACGTTACCATATGGTAATGTGTAGTAAGCAATCGTTTCATGTTATAAAAATGGAGGAAACCATAATTCTTGTTCTGTTTTACTTTGTTACCATATGGTAAGGTGTGGTAAGATATAGTTTCATGTTATAAAAAATGCAGAATAGTGATAATAATTGCCAATACCATGTATTACCACCATGGTATCTTACAAAAACTCCCATTATGCAGGCTGAGAATGCAATCAAACTGCTTGCAGCATCAATGAAGGCAATGATGAAAGCAATCAAAGACCAGTACAAAAGCCAAATTGACAATCTGATCAGACACAAGGAGAATCTTGCGAAAGAAAGCTGTGATGAAAATGTTCAGCCAACAGAAGGAGAAAAATTTCAGTGTGAAGATGATGAAGAAGAGAATGATGAAGAAATGAATGCCAGTTTGAATAAAACACTCAATGAAATATTCAAACAGGCAAATATAGACCAGAACAAAGAGGAGAAGGAGGAGCAAACACAGAAAGAAGATGATTCACAACCATCTACAGTCGATCTTGCTGCATCTACACCGAAGCCAAAAGAAAAGGAGCAAGATGTTTCTGATCCAGGAGCTGTGAATAGGGAAAGCATCCCAAAAGAAGGAGGTCCACTGGGGGAAGTTGCAACAGAACCACCAGAACAATCTGTTCAAGAAGGTCTGAATCAGGGAACACCACAACAAGAGGACACCCCGAAAGCAGTTCCAGAACAGACATCTGCAAAAGAAACAGGAGAAAAAGGAGCTACCAAAACAGCAGATCCAATGGAAGTTGATAAGGAAACAACAGAAGAAGGGAATACAGGGCAAGCTGCGCAAAAGACTCCAGAAACTGACAGCGAGAAAACGGTGTCAGATGATGTTGTTCGAGAAGAGGCTCCAAAACTGACAACCAAAGATGCTGAGAAGCCTAAAGTGACAAGGGAAGACGACATTCCATCCTTTGATCTCAGCCCTCTCAACTGTCAAACACCAACAACACCAACGAAGTTGACTACCAACACGGCAACCGATCAACCAGGAGAGCCTCGCAAAAGAAGAATCGTGGTGAAGAATGTGCACGGAAATGAAAAGAAGGCAAGAGCAATACCACCACCAGCACAGCCACAAAGCACCCAGTCACAGACGGCGTCATATGCTATATGGTCAAATCTGTACACAAACAGCCAAGAGAAGCTCAAGGAAGTCCGTGAATGCATAGATGCTTACCTTGAGGACCTGAATTCTCCAACTGTTGATCCAGTTGCTCCACAATCACAAAAAAACACCAGCTGAATGGTCAACACCAACACAAACAACACCTGATGATATGTTCAACAACATCCTGGAGTACATAAGATGCAAAAACAAGAAATTTGTCAAGAGGTAAGTCATCATCTTAAAACTTCTACTGTTATATGATTTTACTGTAGTGATCTAGTTTCCGTATGGTAAAATAAGGTAAGATATGGTAAAATAAGATTAATCTATTGTTTAATGTTACAAAATGTAGTAATGCACAAGTCCTGTTTTGTTTTAGTTTAATACCATATGGTATGATGTGGTAAGCTAAGGTTTGTTGTTAAAGAATGGATTAAACCATAACTCCTGTTCTATTTTACTTATTACCATATGGTAAGATGTGGTAAGATGGTGTGTTTTACTTATTACCATATGGTAAGATGTGGTAAGCTATGGTTTTGTTGTGGTAACCTATTGTTTGATGTCATAAATTAAAGTAAACCATCCGTCCTGTTGTGATGTGCTTTTATACAGTGATGAGATAATGTTTAAAAGGAAGGATGGAACATTCTTGCTGAAAAGGGAGTCAGTACAGTTGATTGACATTGGCTGTGAAATCACAACTGATGTCGTCGACTGGTATGGAGATGTAATGAACAGGAATGAAGCAAAAAAAGGAAAATTCAAAAGGTGGTTCTTCGATACATCTTTGGCAGTAAGTAAACCCACCCATATTCTGTCAATAGTTCTTAGACAACACATATATAAAATACATAATAACAACCACAACCTTTCAGGGTGACTGCCAACTGGACATTGATAGCGGCAATCCTGTACTATCTCCAGACGATTACTACAACAAAGTGGACTTGGACATCACCAACAAAGAATGGGCAAAAAACCTCAGCTTCATAGAATGTAACCTTGTAAGTATCTCACCACAATTTTTGCAGTGGTTACCATATGGTATATAGTGGTAAAATTAGTTTGCAATGGTTCTTAACTTACTGTTCATCACTTATATGGCAACTGCTTACCATATGGTATACTGTGGTAAAATTATTTTGCAGTGGTTCTTCCCTTACTGTAATAACAAGCACTACATCATGATTTGTGTCAACATCAAAGCAGAGAGATTTGAAGTACTCGACAGTCTCCGTCACAAAGATTTTAATGAACACTACAAACCAATGGCAGAGAGGGTTGTCCAGTACGCAATCAACTACATGAAGACACAGTTTGCAGACAAGACAGTAAGGTGGGAGAGGTTTACCTGGTTCAACCTCGAGAAGGTTACACAACCAGATCAAATTTCATGTGGGATGTACATCATCAGGTGGATGAGACACTGGGAAGGTAAGTACAACAGTGCCCTGACCAAAGATTGGAAGAGGATTGATCTCATAAATGAAGAAAGGGAGTGCCTGATGTTGGACATCATTCTTGATGAAGAAAATCTTGAACGGGAAAGAATCATGAAAGAAGCAACAAAGTACTGCAACATGAAGAACAAGAAAAAAGAGTTGAAAGGAAGGAGATGAAAATTCTATTATCGTTTGTGTTAAGTAGTAGGAGGGTATAAGTAAGCTTTTGAGAACAAACTCACAATGTTCAGTAGCCACTTCATTTTAATTAGTAGGATGGTATGAAACAACTTATTATGGTTTGTATTATAACTAAATGAAATGTTCTGTTTTTTATTCTGTTTTTTATTATGTTAGCAAATTACCACATTTTACCACATGGTATGGCATGGTAAAAATCAAATTACCACACTAGACCATATGGTATGGCATGGTAAAATCAAATTACCACACATGCCACTTCCAAAATACCATATTTTACCACATGGTATGGCATGGTAAAAATCAAATTACCACATTTTACCACATGGTATGCAATGTAAAATCAGTTAACCACACAGAACTTCCAAATTACCACATTTTACCACATGGTATGGCATGGTAAAAATCAAATTACCACATACCATATGGTAATGCACTGTAAAATCAATTACCACACATGCCACTTCCAAAATACCATATTTTACCACATGGTAATGCACTGTAAAATCAATTACCACACATGCCACTTCCAAAATACCATATTTTACCACATGGTATGGCATGGTAAAAATAAATTACAACACTATACCATATGGTATGGCATGGTAAAATCAAATTACCACGCTATACCATATGGTATGGCATGGTAAAATCAATTATCACACAGAACCCTCACATTTAACTTCCAAATTACCACATTTTTACCACATGGTAATTCACTGTAAAATCAAATTACCACACATGCCATTTCCAAAATATCATATTTTACCATGTGGTATGGCAAATGTAAACTCAATTATCACACAGAACTTCCAAACTACCACACTATACCACATGGTATAGCATGGTAAAATCAATTATAAAACAGAAATTTCACATTCAACTTCCAAAATAGCACATTTTACCACCTGGTTTGACATGATAAAATCAAATTAACACATTATACCACATGGTATGACATTGTAAAACTATTATAGCTTCAGCCTTAAACTTTCTTCAACAGCCTTCAAATTCTCCTCCTCAAGCCTGCTAGTTTTTCTCTTCTTCTTACTTACAGCCCTTGCAGCCTCCGCAACTGGAATTGGTCGTTTCGAAGGCTTGAATGAATCTTTTTTAGGCTTAAACCCCTTCACTTTTTGGACTGGTACATCATCTATACCAAGATAACAAAAACAAACTACAATCAATGACAGATATATGTAAAATCATTCTCGTAAAAAAAATGCATATATCAAAACACAAAACTCTAAACAATTAAAAACTTACTGTCACCGTTAGAAGACGTGCTTGTTCCAGCAGGTTCAGTAATCGATAGGGCTTCACACTTTTTGATCAAATCAGTCATGAAGGCCATGGCTGATTTATACAAATCATCATCCAATGCAACCCTGCTGATCATTGATGCAGAAACAGCTGACAGATTGAAAAGACGAGAACGGTATTTCGATGGACTATCAGTAGACGGAACTTCAAAAGAAAAGTTCCCTCCAGTTTTCGCTGCCCTTGTCCACCGCTTCAAAATCAAACTGCTAGGAATGTGCTGGAACTTCAGATTGCATGTTGTAGACCACAACATATCATATCCCTTAATTTGATGCTTACAGATCATACCACTTGACTCCCACTTACGGCACGAACACTTGATTTCACCGGTTTCAAAATCAACCTTCAACACCCTACTATCCAACCTTGTAAGGTCATCCTCCAATATGAAGACATCAAACAGTCCTACATGTCCTTCTGGTTCTATCTCCGTATTGGAAAAAATATTATACGCAAGAGATTCCTTGTACTGATCCAGAAAAAACTTGAATATCTTCGGCGTATACACATTGGCAACTTGCTTCACAATAGGGCTAGTAGAAAACCGAGAATCAGCCAACCTAGATAAGGCATAGTACTCTTCTTGTTCTTCAGCATCCCTCTTATTATCAAGCATCCTCTCAAAGTGCACAAAGAACCTACTAACGCTAAACTCTGACTGCAAGTAATGTCGAATATTACTATTGCAGCACTCACTTAGCTGGGTACTCTTCATTCCCGCACCAAAATGACAATTCACCCAGGCTGAAGACCACTTCGTCCTGACTTTGTAAATGCCCTGTAACCAACTGTGTCCCAAAGGTCCCTTCCCAGGAAAACACTTCTCAATCATCTTCTTCCAATTATACTCAAAATCATCCTCATCATCAGCATTATACATCAAATAACTAAGCTCACGAAGGAAGTCAGAGTCACACAAACTTCCCAGATTAACAACTGCATTCTGAGCAATATGCCATGTACACAACCCATGAAAACAATATGGGAAAACAGACCTTATACCAGCAGCAATTGCAGCAGCCTGGTCAGTAAACATTGATAACGGTCTCACACCTCCCATGCATTTCAAAAACTGATCGAAAAGCCATTCAAATGTTGCCGTTGTTTCATCATATAGAAGAGCAGCCGCAAAGACAGTCAGTTGGTGATGATTGTTGAAACCAACAAACAAAGCTACAAAAACATAACAAGAATGTGAGTAAAAACAATTCTACCAACAGATACCATGTGGTAAAAGGTACGAATAACAATAATACCAACCCATACCATATGCTAAAGACTCATACCATGTGGTAAAGACTTCTAAGAACAAAAAAAACCTTGTTACCAACCCATACCATATGGTAAAAGACTTTTAAGAACAAAATAACCTTGTTACCAACCCATACCATATGGTAAAAGACTTTTAAGAACAAAAACACAATGCATACCAGCCCATACCATATAGTACAAACTTCTAACAACCCAAAAACCACCTCAAATAACCTTGTTACCAACACATACCATATGGTAAAATACTTTTAAGAACAAAAAAGCAATCCATACCAACCAATACCATATGGTACAGACTTGTAAGAACAAAAAAAAAACATGATACATAATGATAATAATAATAATCATACAAACTAACAAAGACAATAATAAACAACAAACTAGAAAACATACCTAGTGGCTGAAACTCTTTGTTAGTCTGGTAAGTAGTATCAAAACTAATTGAATCACCAAAATAATGATAATCCATCCTCATCTTCCCATCTGCCCAAAAAATACTAGCAATGTTCTCTTCAACATCAACCTCCACCTCATGAAAGAACCCAGGATCCAGCTGTGCTTGACGTCTAAAGTATTCAAGCAATGCAGTCGCATCACCATATTCCATTGATAACGTCCTAACCGTTCGCAGATGATTCTTCATATCATTCTTTGTGAACCCAACAAACTTCCGACCACCACCAGCCCTACTAATTGCATTATACGAAGAAGTCACACCAATACCAGCAGCATCATTCACCTCTGCCAACATCTTATACACAGGAGCCATTCGTCTGCTGGATCTCACATAGTGACGTAGAGACTCAGGAATCATGTCATGGTTGTGCACATTACACCAACGATAGATCTTGTAGCATTTAAACTCTTTAAACCACCTCAGTCGTATATAAGCACCATTACATCCACCCCTGAGTTCTGGAACATTACGAACACGAACTGTCGTATCAACAACACCTGCATTATCAGGGTTATTCTCGCTACCTCTTTTCCAACCTTCCTTATTGCAACAATACTTGATATAATATACAGCTGAAGAACCACCATTGAGCTTCGGACACGCTGATTGGTTATAAATCCTCACACCAAAACCTTCATGATTCCCATAATCAACATAAAAATTATATGCATCATCTGGTGTATTGAACTCTAAGTCCTTCCAAGAATCACGAACAGTAGGATCTATACCATTGAAACCTACAAACATTATGAAACAACATATTAAATGGATTCCACACCACAACAGTATGAAATCTCAATGTATACCAATAATTACAGCCATGATACAAGAGTTACCACCATGGTATGGCATGGTAAAATCAAATTACCACACTATACCATATGGTATGGCATGGGAAAATCAATTATCACACAGAACCCTCACATTTAACTTCCTAATTACCACATTTTACCACATGGTAATGTACTGTAAAATCAATTACCACATGATAAGGCATGGTAAAATCAAATTACCACACTATACCATATGGTATGGCATGGGAAAATCAATTATCACACAGAACCCTCACATTTAACTTCCTAATTACCACATTTTACCACATGGTAATGTACTGTAAAATCAATTACCACATGATAAAGCATGGTAAAATCAAATTACCACACTATACCATATGGTATGGCATGGTAAAATCAATTATCACACAGGATCCTCACATTTAACTTCCTAATTACCACATTTTACCACATGGTAATGTACTGTAAAATCAATTACCACATGATAAGGCATGGTAAAATCAAATTACCACACTATACCATATGGTATGGCATGGTAAAATCAATTATCACACAGGATCCTCACATTTAACTTCCTAATTACCACATTTTACCACATGGTAATGTACTGTAAAATCAATTACCACATGATAAGGCATGGTAAAATCAAATTACGACACTATACAAACTTCAATAAACAAACAAATTTGTATATCTTACCTCCTGATTCACCAGAGTTAGCTGAATGATCAAATCCAAGATCAATAGATGAAGAAGCAATTCCAACAGCACTAGATGAAGAACCAGATCCTACAACGCTGGTTGAAGAACCAGATCTATCAATTGGAACAACATCGCCACAATTTACGTAACTCATCTCACCAGAATACTACAAAAACACCAAAACACAAAGAACATAACACATGAACAAGCTCGATTAGCTAAACATAAACAAGCTCGACTAGCAGCAATGAAAAACCTCCAACGAAACCAGAGATCAACAGAAAACTCGATTAGCTAAACAGGAAGAATCAAAAAAACTAATATCTAACCTCGTCGTCGATCAATTATGGAGAATCACAAAAGATTCGCCGTCCCCTGTTTCACAGCAGCTGCTCGCAGTTTCTCTCTACAAAAACCGAATCCAACTCGCGCACACGTCGATCGATTATGGAGAATCAGAAAGCTCGATTCGAAGCTGCTGTTCGCAGTTTCTATCGCCGTCGATCAACCATGGAGAATCGCCGTCCTTGTTTCTCAGCTGCTGCTCCCCTGCTCGCAATTTCTCTCTCCAAAATCCGAATCCAACTCGCGCACACGTCGATCAATTATGGAGACCGAGAATCAGAAAGCTCGATTCGAAGCTGCTGCTCGCAGTTTCTATCGCCGTCGATCAACCATGGAGAATCGCCGTCCTTGTTTCTCAGCTGCTGCTCCCCTGCTCGTAGTTGAGACTCTCCAAAATCCGAATCCAACTCGCGCACAGAAAGATTCACAACGGACAAAAGGGGAAACTCATTAATTCAAATAACGGACAAAAATGCCCCTGACCATCCCGCTTCAATGACAGCCACACGATCCGTCCGCCCCAGATCAACGGTTCCTAAGTGGTTACTCACGGGTGAGTAACAAAGGGTTACTCACCCTATCCTAAGCCCCCAAAACCCAGCCATATTTCCCTTCCAAAAACCCAATACCTATTTTTGGCTTCCCATTTTTTTGTGGGTTGGAGGAAGAAAAAATGCCAAATATGGCTTTATAGCAATTTGACACCATGGGTTGGAGCTAGCCTAAGGCGCTGACTACGCAGCGTAATCTTCCTTCTTTCTCCGGTTCCGGTAATGCATGCGCGGGCGGCAGGGTATTTCTCTGCGAACTTGTTAGACCTGTATTCTGGCAACATATTTCCAATCAGAACCAACGTTATATCGACGAAGCATGACGGACGAACTAAGGAATAGGGTTTCCTCCGCTGATTCGCTTCCCAGTGCTACCGAATACTCTCAGTCGAGGCAAAGGTAACTTGCTATTTCCGATTTTGGAATATGATTTTCTTGGAGTTCATTGATGTAGCGCGCGCGCGTGGAAGAAGAGATGGATTCGATGTACATATTCCCTTGGCCTGACTCCGCAATTTGTCCTTTCTTCTCGTCTGGAGGAAAATCCATATTTTTGTTAAGTCCGCGTTTGCAAGGAGAAGTTGGGAACAAAGTTCATGAATTTGATGTTTGATGACAATTGGCAGGAAAAGGAGAAAGTGGGATGAACCAGCAGAGTCGCTAGCGGTTTCAGTTGGAGTTGCAGTTCCTGGTTGTATCCCTTTATACAGTGGTGTTGCATCAGCCTCCAGCGCTCTTCTCACAAATCCGCCGCTTGTTGCTAGTTATGCTACCGTTTCACCGGCTTTGCAAGTAGCTTCAGTGCCACAAAGCAGTACAGTCCCTGCAAAACTTTACCAAGTAAGATTATGGGATACGTTTTGCTGCAACGTATCACATCCCATCCCATTCCATTCCATTCATGTATTGTATTAAGTATATCAACCTGTATTAATATATCATGTGATTTACTAACATAGATTGCTATACTAGCCAGTTGAACCCGGAAGCTCTTGATAACGCACAGCTCATGTTTGTGTTTTACGATTTGATTTGTGGCTTCAAAATTTCATATGCTATTTTGTCTGAAATCATGAATTGTACATTGCTTAGATTCGGCCTGAATGGTAATCTCTTTTTGATTGTTAACCTGGTCACAGGCTAAGATCCAAGATGAGTTGATAATTGCACGAGAAATTGTGATAAATGATGCAGAGGCCTTAGTCCGATACAAGCTCACAAAGCGACAGACACAAGATGAGGTAAGATATCCCTGTGATTAGCTAGGAGTGCTGGTTTCTTTAACTGAAATTTCTAAAGGGGTGACGTTTCTTCTTTTGCAGATTCAGAAGAGCACTGGTGCTGTAGTGATAACTAGGTTAGGTCCTTACAAACAGTTCTATGAGAATCTTGTATTATAGTCTTCACTTGTCAGTTTGCTGATTATTTCCTTACAGAGGCAAGTATCATCCTCCTAATACACCAACTGATGGTGAAAAGCCATTGTACCTTCACATATCTTCAGGGGCACAGGTAAAACTTTGTTTCATTGGTATTGAAAATTAGTTTTTTGGCTGCACGGCAAGGCAGATGTAGTAATGATTTATGTGGGATTTTTCCCGCTACTGTTTTTGCTTTTGCCGTGCACTGAAGTTTGTGTTTGGGGTTCTGCTAAATGAATTTTAGGTTGTGCATTTCTGGTCCCGTGTAGTTTGTATTGGTCATATGTGTTCTCTGTCATTGTTTTGTGGCGCCAATTACTCCCACCTGAGTTATGTCGTGTTCTTCATTGCACATGTCAAAGAGTGTGGCTTTTATTTGAAGGCCATGTTCCTTGTTTGTCTGCATCATGTCTACCTATTATTAGAGAATAGGAAAATGTACGTTTATCTGGACTTGGATCTTTCCAGTCATAAGGCTGTCCAAAACCCAAGGGCTAAAAGGGCAAAATGCCCTTTTAGCCCCAATAAATGATCATCAATCATGGGCCATGTTCCTTGTTTGTCTGCATCAACTCATTGATGCGGTGGATAATTGGTACAGTTGAAAGATACCGCAGAGCGAATTTTGGCGGTTGACCGAGCTGCTGCTATGGTTGAAGAAATGTTGAAACAGGGCCAGAATGTGCAGTCTTCTTTCCCTATTTTCTCAAAGGCTGCAAGCAATGGAGTTATGGTATATTCCTTCTGATCTTTTGCATAAAATTGAGAAACTCGTACTATTTTATCTAAAACTGAAGAATTTCTCCTAGGCATTGAGCACATGTGTGTATTTGGGCTTTGAAGCAGATCCATCCAATAACATTGCTGCAAGAATTCGTGGTCCAAATGTGAGTTATTATTTTAATTTGTACTTTTCCTGAAATGATCACTCAGATACTTAACAAAAATTTGTATATGTTTGGCTTTGGGTTCTTTGTTATGTTCTGTTGCACCATTTGTAGCAGTTGTTTGTATATTGGTTATAATATAAGCGGTTGATTTTCCAAAACAGCATCGGGTTTTAGCAATTTTCCTCAGTTCATTTTCTGACTTTTCCTGTGCACTTATGAGAAGAGGGATCTAATGTTTGAGCTTTCTCTCACATCTCCAAACTATTGGGAGAGACTCTTTTCTTCTGCTTGTGTTGGTTTGGTTTTGCAATGCAGGATCAGTACATAAATCACATTATGAATGAAACAGGAGCAAGTGTTGTACTAAGAGGGCGAGGTTCTGAAAATCATTGCAATCTAAACGGTGAAGATAATGTTCACTGTTCTTGATATCACTCCTGGAGAGCACTTAATTTGTTCTTTTTCAGTCTTATGGAACGTTCATCTCATTTCCCATGCAGAGTCCCAGCAACCTCTTCATTTGTTCTTGTCCTCAACTAACTCGAGAAGTCTTGAACATGCACAAAGTTTGGCTGAAAATCTTCTGCAGACAATTCGTTTAGAGTGTGGTGTGTCTAGGTAATGAACAGACTATACTAGATTGCGTACCAGTTTCATTTGTATCATGACTTTGAACTAGTATTTGCTCAATTATATTTCCTATTTTTAAGGGTTGGATTGGCGAAGGGTTACAATGCCGTCCCACCACCACAGCAGTTACTGACTGGAGTCGAGTCTTCTGGAAATTTGTTTAGTGTAAATACTTGTTCAGTTGCTGATATAGCCTCACCGACAATGACCTCCATTCCGTCTATAGAAGCTTCCTCAAGTACAGTTCCCAATTTGGGTGCTTTAGGTTCTCAAGGGGTCTTATCATCTGCTGGGGGAATGGTGGGTTTTGGTCTACATCAGCCGAGCTCGGTTGCTGATCCTCAGCATTTGACAAAAGGAGGAACAAGCTATAGTGGGTATGGTGGTATATATCCACAGACCACACCTTTGCAACAAGTTGCTCTTGTCCTGAGACATACACCTTCCATCAACTCCACAGTTGCTCCTGTAATATCAGTTGGAAGTGCAACACATCTAGAAAATACAAACACTTATAAAAGTACATCCTGCCATTCCGAGAAGGAGACGGCAATGCAGAAAAGGAAGTTTCAGGAGTTACCCATCAGGTCAAAGGCACCTGCAAAACAATTCCAGGTATCTATGCAAGTCTTACTCATGAGTTTTGCATGCATTGAGAGGTATGAGGAAATATGATTACATTGGTGGAGTGAGAACTTGCAATTTAAGTTTCCGAATCTCTTCAGTGAGCTTTTCATACTGATGATAAAACTGGAGATAAACTATCATAACCTTATTATGTAACACCTTCGTTGGATCATCTGGTTCTTCTTTTGTAAGTTGGTTGGCCATTTACTAGCCTATCTTAACCTTTGAAGGGATAAGTATTCCTTATCTAGGCTTGCTTAGGATATGGTTTACCAGAAGTTCCGTAATTGTGAGCTCAACCTGGACTGACATTTTCTTCTCCAAATAGGCTGTGAATTCGAAAGAGAATATTAGACAATAAAATTATCAAAATAATGAACTATATATAGCCAAAAAGAAGACTTGAGAACTTATGATAAGTTGAGAGTGAGAATGAGAGCGCTTGGTGTAGCAAATTGGAATAAATGTCCTAAAATGAGAAAAATTATGCATGTACTCTACTTGTTCAGTGATATAACAGACTCTTGTTGCTTGCACCTTAGAAGTGAAATATTGTCATTTTGTATATTGCAGCTATTTTTATCAGTTGTAATACCCACGCAACAGCATGAAACTCATTTATCAAAGCTGTGATAACTGAACTGTCTAATCATAAATATGATCCAGTCTACTTCTCCAAGTTTTAGCTTGAATTTGAAGAAAAAATCTTCATGGTGAAGCATGCCACACGGATGTAAAAATGTAAATATTAACTTCACATCAACCGTACATGTGAGAGGTACCAGCCAGACTGTGTGCCTTGAATTACCTGCCGTAACGGTTGTGAGGACAATCATGTTGCCTGGGTTTTACCTTAGCTTCAGCAGAGCTTACCTCGCTAGGGAAAATGAAAATTCATACCAAACATCAGCACTTTACCTTTAGCTAATACAAGTGTACTTAGTTCATATCTGATAGTTTATGACCTACACTCAATTTTTTAACTAGTAATACACAAGTTGTGGATGCCCATTACGAGATTGTTATGTGTTGTTGAATTTCAATAGAAACCCTGCATGACTGCATCCTTAGAAACCATTTATTGAGTACAACGTCTGTTTCTACAACTCTTCTATCTTGTTTTAGCTATCTGACTTAAGTGAATCTTCATAGTACATCTTTTCTCGGATTGACTTATTTTATTAATATCCATCTAGCTTCTTACATCTGGATGTACATATGTAAGACGATATAATAGTTCATATTGAAAGGGCATTTGGTCATCTTCAGAAAAAAAGAAGCAAAAAAAGTGCACGTGGTCAGAAAGATAGGATTTCTTATTAAAGGTGCTGGGACACAGAGAAATATGTAACTCTATCTTCATATTTTAGTAACTGGACATCAAGTTTTATATAGCTCTTGAATTATTCTGCTTTGATCATGATTCCTCTTTGTGCAACTCTCACTCTTTAAAGGATACAACTTTGAACTTCAATTCCCTTATGATTTGTGTTTCCTTTTACCGTCTGTTGGTTTTGTATATGATCTGACTTTTTTGCTTATGATTCCAGGTATTTCTCTGACCTTCTAAGACGCTAACAGGCTGATGCCAGACCTCTCTGTTAGGGCCATTGGTTTGTATGTTTCACAGGGTTCAGTTTTGAAGGCACTTTGTGATGGAATGAGACTCAGCTGGTGGGGACTGCATCTCGTTTATACGTTCTACTTGAGTTGACGAAACCATATAACCTACTGGTACTGTTGAGTATCAGTAAAATAAAAGATGCATTCTGGCTGGGTTGAAATATTCTAGAAGTCGGATTTATTAGGAATGAAAGTTGGCATATGATTGTTAATGGCGGAATATGCTGACCTGAGAGCAACCTAAGTTGAACATATGTTTTAGTGGCACTGGAAGATATTTGGTGGATGACTCAGTTCTGTTGGCTGTGAATAAATAATCTCTCTAGATTCATCCTTCTGAAACAAATGAGCGTGAGTAGGAAAATTCACGTGTGTGGCTGACTGCAGTCAGAAGCTCAGAGGAATTTGTGCCAATAGCGGAAATGCATAACAATGGTTTTAGGATACAATTGGTGTTGCCGTCCCATCTAATTCCGACGCCTAGAAAATGAGATAGATAGATGATGTCCGAAGACTACATTCCCCCCATATCCTGTTTGTTTGTTTGTTCACTGCTGTTACTGAATTAGTTATGAACTCATCACTCTAAAGTGTCATTAAGAGATTATGCTTGTATTTTCTTGTCTATTCAAACTCATCTCAGGTTTCAAAGTTGGACAAGCTTAGTGAACTACAATCCACTCGCTTGAGAGTAAAGCCACCTTCGAAGGCCTGTGTCTCTCAGACTTCAAATGGAATGTCGTCACCACGTCCACGAGGAATGCCCCCTCCATCCATGGCAAACTCCATGACTCCACCGGCTGCCCCAAGATTAATCCCACCTTCCCCTAGTGCACAATACATGGCTCCATCAGAAATTATCACGAGTGGGGCTCAGAAAAGAGATGCCAAGATCAGTGTTCGGGATGAAACACAATTAGATAAAGTACCAGGTATGGCATTAGTGGCAACTGCTGTTCATCGCGTATATGTTTGTTCTCACGGGGCATCGTTTTCATTTTTTCCAGAGACTTTGATCAAGCTAATGGAATATGGGGATGACGACGATGACGATGAGCAAACCGGCCAGTTACTTGGAAATGGCAGCAACTCCAGTTCGACAGCAGTTGGAAAACCATTTTGGGCTGCCTGAATGGCATTCTGTCAGTAATTGCTGAGACTGAATGAACTATCGCCCTTGTACGAATTCAGCTACACACTGGGGTTTCTGATCACTAGATATCTGTTGTAGCTTCTCAACCTTGATGTTTGGCGTCATCAAATCCTTCATCTGTACCGTGAAGTTTGGAGTCGGTAAAGAGTTTTGCGGCTTTGCTGTTTGAAAATATATCTAGAGCTCTCCTCTTTCTCCTTTCTTTTGTCTTTATTTCTGTTTTCTTTCTCCCTTTTGTACCTGTCCCCCTCTTCCTCTTCCCATGGAGGTGCAGTTATAGTTTCCAGGATTTGATGCGGCACGGGATAGTTTGAAAACTTTAATTCGAAATCATAGACCCCAAACTGTCTCACACCGTCGTCGAAAGTGGTTGGAAAGGCCGCGAAATAGGGACGAGCGAGGGAGATCACACAAGTTGCACGGTCAGGACAGGAAAGCGCACGACCGTACATAGTTGCCTTTTTGGCCGTGTGGGATTTACCAGAAGCTGCACGGTCTGACCCTTTTTTCGCATGGTCGTGCATGATGAATTTGTGGTTGTGATGATTTCTGCTAGAGAGCTGCACGGCCAGGCTCGGTATTGTACGGGTCGTGCACTCCTCTAGCGGAATTAATTGAAACGGCGCGTTTTGGGGTGCAAGGGCATACTAGGAGGCTGCACGGTCGTGCGGTTTGGCCGTGCAATCATGGAAGCTGCTTCTTAACCCAATTTAAGGTTTTGGAGAGAGGGATACGACATTTTGAGCAAAAACAGAGTTCTAGTGAGAGAAAGTGTGAAGAACAAACCCTAGGAGCTAATTTGGAGTGGATTTCTCACCATTGAAGCCTAGATTGCATCTTCAGGAGTGAAGATCGACATCCCAGAGCAGATTATTCCCATCTTTATGAGTATGACTGCTTTGAATTCTGTTTTCCTCTCTCTCTGTTCTCACCATTGGAGTAGACAAGCAGCTGATTGACTCGATTTGCGGCGGGAACATGCTGACCAAGACGCCGCTGCCGTTGAATAGGCTCTTCAAAGAGATGGCAGAGCAGGGATATGACTGGGGAACTGCTAGGAGATCGAGGCGAGCACCACAGCCGGGTGTGCATGCTGTAGCCACCCAGTCATTTGAGTTGGTGCAGGTTGTCTCGAAGCTGGTATCGGTTTTGGATCGTAATGGGAGGATCTCCGGGAGAGGTCAGCAGCAGGCGATGCATTGTCAATGGTGTGAGAGCTCCCATCATACCGTAGAAGACTGCCAGACCATGCGTGAGTGCATTACACCACAGGAGCAGGTGAACTTCATCAACAATACTAGGCGCAATGACCCCTACAGTAATACTTACAACGAGGATGGCGCCAACATCCAAATTTCTCGTGGAGTGGCAACAACAATCCCAAGCCACCTGGCTTCCAGGCTCCTGCAACTGGTCTTCAAAACTAGAGGCAGCCATACCAGCCTCACCCGGGCCAGATGCAGCAATGTAGTCACTTTATCAGCCTAGACAAGGGCAGGCTTTTCAAGAGCCCCCACGGCAGCAGTAGTACCAGCAGTCTGGTGCATCTCCATCAGTCCCAGCATCGGGTGATCTCGTGTCAGAACTGAGGGATCTAGTGACCACCTTAGCCAGCACTAGTACCCAGAAGTTCAATAAATTGGAGCAAATTCATGGAAGTGGTTGTGGGCAAATTCATGGAGATTGAAGCTAGCTAGAGGAACCAGCAGGCACTCCTGCAGATGCCCTTACTTTTAGACCGACCCCTGCTGAATCCCTGAAATCATAAGGAGGAGTTGCACGCCATCATGCTGAGAAGTGGGACTATGACTGAGGATGCACCGCCGAGGAGTGCAAAGAAGATGCCACAGATCACCCCGGAGCCGGAAGAAGACCTGGTGAAGGAAAAAGAGCCAGAGGTTCGGGCCCCAAATCCTTAGCCAGTAGTGGCTGAATATAAGTCTAAGCTCCCCTTTCCCACTAGGATGCACAAAGACCGGTTAGAGACAGAGTTTAGGAACTTCATGTCCATGCTTAGGAAGCTGAATATTCAAGTGCTTTTCCTAGAGGCACTATCTCAAATGTCTAAGTATGTGAAGTTCATGAAGGATCTTCTCTCGAAGAAGCGGAAGCTGAGCGAGCAAGCCACTGTGGAGCTCAGTGAGGGGGTGCTCGGCCATTCTGCAGAACAGGCTTCCGCCGAAGCAGAGGGACCCAGGTAGTTTTACTATCCCGTGCTCTATTAGTAAATTGCATGTAGACACGTCCTTGGCGGATCTAGGTGCTAGTATCAATATTATATCATATAAATTGTTCAAGAAACTAGGCCTAGGTGAACCTAGTGCAACTAGGATGAGTATTCAATTAGCTGACCGATCTGTAGTTCATCCTAGGGGCATAGTGGAAGACCTCCTGGTTAAAGTTGGCATATTCATTTATCCTGTGGATTTTGTTGTCTTGAACATCAATGAAGACGTAGAAGTGCCCCTTATACTAGGAAGGCCTTTCCTGGCCACCGCCAAGACTCCATAGATGTGCATGAAGGGACCTTAGTCTTGAGAGATGGCGAGGAGCATATAACATTTCCCATAGCTAATAATATACATGGTTTATCGCCTTGTCATGCTCTCTCACCAGGTGCACGAGTCTGTCATGTATCCTTCTTTGCCTTCCATTTTGCAGGATTCTCCTCTCATACCCTCGTTGCCACTCCCGTCCACCCCGTTACCAAAAGAAAAGGTTCAGGAGGAATGGCGGCCGAAACTGCAGGTAGCTAAGCCTGCTCAAAAGAAAGTTGGAGACCACTATGAGCTGGTCCCGACTCCTGAGCCACGACCGCCCTGGCCAACCGAGTATTCACTCGCTTGCATCCTGCCGGATGGCCAGGTCGAGTTGACAAGTGCTGGTGGTCACTCCCGTCGTGTGCATGGCCACCATCTGAAGTTGTACCTTAAGAGCGATGTGGATCCACTCTGAGCATCCACTCTCTGCGTCCAGCTAAAGACGTAAAAGAAGTGATCGTCGGGAGGCAACCCTACCACGGTTTGTTTTTTTTTTCTTGTGTCTTTTTTGATTTTTTCCACTTGGAACTATGGTTTTTATCACCCAGTGTGTTTTGATTACTCTAGCTCGGTGCCTTTCCACTGGTCCACCTTCTAGTCTGCCCCTGATGACTGGTCCCATTTCACGTCCACCGGCAATCCATTTTCCCAGTAACATCGTTCCCCTTATTCTATCCTCTTCTCCATTGAGGGCAATATCGTGTTTAAGTGTGTGTGTGGGGGGGGGGTGTTTATCTTTGACTGCATAGATGAGTTTTTGTGCTTGGAGCCTAGTCCGCTGTCCAAATCTCGAGATTTGAGGGCTCCAAGTACTGATGTTTGCTTGATCATATGGGCACAGTGGTTTATGTGGTAAATCGATTGGCTGTTAACATTGATGCATGGCAACTTGATTGTGACTAGGACAACCTATAATGATGACTGAGAAGTGCGGTAGAGTTATGTCGGGGTTCAGTTTTTCAACTGTTTTGCTTACCAACTGTGACTTGGATTGATCACTTATCTTCTACAATCGTTCATGCATCTAGTTCAGGGAATCATGATGAGAGATAGAGCATATAGATAGTCATGTGAGATTTGAGCCTGCTCGTTTCTTTCTTGTGCGATAGATCCCTCTTCCATGATGTGTAGCATTCAAATTAGGATGATGGAGGCATAGGAAGAGACCACGACCAAATTGACTGTCCTGGTGTGTCATACCCACTAGTCAGCCCCTTTGAGCCGTGTAACTTTCCTTCTTTCGATCTTCAATGAAAATCACCCTTTTGCATTTCTTAGAGGTTCCATAGAGTGGGTTTTGCATGTTCTCTACTATTTCTGCTATAAATAATATGAGAGTTGGAGGTAGTTCTTAAAAATTGGGCATGTGCTTGAAAAATGTGCAGAGGTGGTGGTTCTCTCAAGAAAAGAAAAATATGAATGAAAGCAAAAGAGAGCCACTACCAAAAATCTGAACCATGCCCATTAGATAGTGTTTCTTAGTAGTCTGGCTTAGAAATACTAACACATTGTGACCTCCTTCACTCGTGTGCTCTAAAGAACGTGATGAATGCAGAATGGCAGAAAGAAAGTAATTGGGTTGCATGATTGTGACTTTGTTAGTTTTGGAACTGTGGAACCCTGTTTAATAAATTCTTCCACCACCTAAAAGGTCTTTCCCTATATCCAAGACCCTAGCTAGTCATCTGAACTAGTGTGTAAGACCTCCGAATTAGTTAGTGGCGACACCCGATATGTGAACTCTAGCATTTAGAGGTTGCCGTCATGGTGAAGAGATGTTAGGATTGAGAGAATAAGCATGCACATTTTTCGCATCAAATTGACCTGACCCCACTGGTCGAGAGTGAGCGATTCATTTCCTTATACTCTTTACATTTTTTTATCTCGTTGAGGACCTAGATTGCTCGCTCTTAATTCTGATGTATTGAGTTTTATGCATGAGGTGACTGTCTTGAATGAGTGGTTGGGTCAAGTCTATGTTCGTTGGTGAACAAAAGGGAGACTCTTCCATTACCCGATTTTGCTACACTCGAATGTCATATGTGGTGGTTGTCTAGGTTGCCGGCGAGGTTGTTCATGTGTTGATGTTTAAAATCCAATGTGATTCACGTATTTTGTGCCTAAATGATATGTCTCCAAAGTTTGCAGGGTTAAAATGTTTTGAGCTTACCTTGTGTCTGACTTGGTTTGCTTGGGGACAAGCAAACGGACAAGTGTGGAAGAATATGATGACTCGATACTTACACATGTTTTTGTCCGCCATTCTTATACTATTTGAGGCTCGGATCTCGAGTTTTAAGCCGATTTTATGCTAGGTTGCTCTTGTTTATGACATTTCGGGTCGTAATGCGTGAATGAAGTTTGAGCACTAGTTTGGGGTCGATTGGGCGAAATCCAGACGAGCGAGGGAGATTAGACAAGTTGCACGGCCAGGACGGAAAAGCGCACGGCCGTGCATAGTTGCCTTTTTGGCCGTGTGGGATTTACCAAGAAGCTGCACAGCGTGATCCTGTTTTTCGCAAGGCCGTGCATGAGGAATTTGTGGCTGTGATGATTTCTGCGAGAGAGCTGCACGGCCAGGCTCTCGAATTGCACGGGCCGTGCAATGGCCGTGCACTCCCCTGGCAGAATTAATTGAAACATCGCGTTTTGGGATGCATGGGCAGACTAGGAGGCTGCACGGCCGTGCGGTCTGGCCGTGCAATCGCGGACAACTGCTTCTTAAACCAATTTCGGGTTTTGGAGAGAGGGATACGACTTTTTCAGCAAAAACAGAGTTATAGAGTGAGAAAGTGCGAAGAACAAATCCTAGGAGCTAATTTGGAGTGGATTTCTCACCATTGAAGCCTAGATTGCATCGGAAGAAGTGTAGAACGACATCCCAGAGCAGATTATTCCCATCTTTATGAGTATGACTGCTTTGAATTTTGTTTACCTCTCTCTCTCTCTCTCTCTCTCTGGAGTAGACCTTTCTCTCACTTGGGTATGAAGAACCCTAGTTCCATGTGTTAGGGATTTGAGTTGTAATGACTTTTGGATTGATATATTGTTTGATTATAATCGATTGAAGTGTGTTTATTGAGTCAATTGAATCCTGATTAAATTCTCTTGATTTCTGCTGCAACCTGAGATAGATAGAATCTGATTAGGTTGTTAGAGCTTCTTCAATTGATAGGAGTGGATTGATTATACGAGAGTTAGTCAATCCATTGCTTTGTACTGGAATCCAATTCCAGTAGTGGAGTTCTGTGTTAACTATCCTGGTGAAGACTAGTCGTCTGCCAGTTAGTTTGTCTAAGAGGGCTTGGTCAGTTGAAGGGATTCCAAGCTACTGTCGGATCTTCCGCAGTTTAATCAACCTAAGGAAATTACAACTTGGACCTAACTAAGGAGCTAGGGAGACTCATTCCCGAATGACTCTTCTCTTGCTTCAGGAAACCAATCAATTTACTGCTTTCTTTCTGCTTTACTTTGAATTCAACTTCACTCACTTAGTCCCGCTAGATAATAGATAATCACGGAGTAGGAAGTAGATCTAGACATCGGGTTGATAAATTAAACTTACCACTTGCTGCATTTTTGGACTGCGATTATAATTGGTCGTAGTTTGGTGTTGTGTCATAGCGTGTCAATGTTCGTGAGAATCAATGCAGTTAAAATTGCGTTTTAAAACTTAAAAACTTACGATTTTACGCTTTTAGGTTACCAAAACGCTTTCGTTTCATATAAAAACTTCAGTATATAAAATCAGACTAAATTGCGCTTTAAAGCTTAAAAGCTTACGGTTTTACGCTTCTAGTTCTCCAAAACGCTTTACGTTTTTACGCTTTTAGTTCACCAAATGAGTATTTTTTTCATGAAATTAATTATAAAAAGTATATTTTAAAAGTAAATCACCAACAATATGATATATTTGAGATTAAAAGATACATATAAGGTACTTGTATGCATTCTCAACTTCGATAGAGTAATCTAATTCACCCGTTAGACTTTTCCCAAATTCATTAGCATAGTGAGAACTGAGAAGAGTGGCTTATTGTTAAAATTTATGTTTACAAACTTATTATTAAGATGCTATAAGTTGTTCTACTTTAGGCATGAATCGCATGTATTTATTGACTTATCTAAATTCTGTGCATTCATATTTTGCATAGCATATGTCCTACTTAATACATTTTTAGTTATTTTTCAGTATGCGTCAAAAACTTACGCTTTTACGCTTTGATTCTACGCTTTACGAGTTTACCCTTTTTCCGCTTCTAAGTAGAATCGCGCTTTTGACTGCATTGGTGAGGATCCTCATTGATGGCCCTAGAGAAAGTATACCCATTGGCGATCCCGTTGATGAATGTTGGGGTAATCCCCATGGTTGCATCCCCATCCGAAATGACAACAGTTGAAGCTCGGGCTCTAGTTCTTCGATTCAAGCGAGCCCTGATCGAATCGTCCTCTTCTGCCATGATGACAGTCTCAATATCGCACGGTAGTGGCGGTGGTGTCGGTGGTATAGGGATGACAGGTGGTGAAACCTGTCCTCTCTGTTGACGATTCTTAGTTAGGGAAGGCCTAGTAGTTGTGGTTGGTTGCTTCCCTAACTTGACATGCTTTCTGTTTTGTCGGCAGGTCTTCTCGATCTCCAGATCTAGTGACAGTAAATCACTGGTATGCATGAAGATGATAAGTCTAAAATTCTCATGCACACTAACACCCAGATTAAACTAGTTCACTCACTAAAAATCAAGGTTTAATACACTTATATATCCAAAACTTTTACGATTGTGCCAATAATATCCAAATTTCCTGAAATACCAATTATATCCATGTTTTTAAAGTTGTTCTTTGCCAAATCTATCCATTTCCCAATATATTTTTGGTTAAATACACTTGTATATCCAAAAACACCGTTAAAGAATGTGAAGGAATTGGATATAAGTGGTATTTCGGGAAATCTGGATATTATTGGCACAACCGTGAAAGTTTTGGATATACAAGTGTATTTAACCAAAAATCAATGATAATAAGGTATGGCAGTCCTCGGCAATGACACCAAAACTTGATAGGGCAAATGCGTATATGCCTTATTCCTATCTCGTAGTAAACCGGAAATCCGAGTATAATCTCTCAGTGACTGGTACAACCTTCTATTCTCTCAATTTTATGAAGAAAAATATAAGTGAAAATGGTTTGAGTGATGAAACTATTATCTAATAGCAAAATAAGTACACAAAACAAGCTAATAGAAGCTGCCGGGAGAAAGCTTTAGGAGAAACACCAGGACTCACTACCTATCATATCCAAATTAATTCACATGTTCTAATCAGTTTAATCCAATTCTTTACAGCCAGGATATCTCTGCTCTGCTAGCTAACCCTATCGAGAATTACTACGTACTAGACAATCAAATCAAATCCTACTATCAAAGCTCAAGGAGTTAATTATTTAGACTGAAGACCAATATTCCAATCAAGACCACAAAGCACCTTATTTAATCCACTGTCGCTTCGATAAGTTACTACGTCACATGTAGACCTGGCAATCGGGTCGGCTGTAATTTTGGGTTGGGGACTTCGGTTACGGGAAGGATCATGTTTGGTTGGCTGATTTCGGGTCAAATATTGACCCAACCCATTCAGTTTTGGGTTGGGTTATAGGTCATTTCGGATTATGAGCGTTCTCATAAACAATATCAAACATGCTTCATATTTTCTTAAATAACACAAATTTTCATATACGTATGACAATAGTTTACCTAACACATGTCAATTAACATATTCTCAAATCCTCTCACGCTAATGAATAAAATACAAATTGCGCAAATCGTCAAAATACAATCACAAGAGTATTACTACTACAAGAAACACATGATATTTGATTATCCTTAAACTCCAAACATGTCATTCAAATCCTTGTAATTTTTTTCAAACATCTCAACAATTTATGAGTGATTTTATGATTTTGAGAGTGATATATAAAATGGAACGGGTCTAACGGGTCGACCTGCTAACCTACCCAACCCAACCCAAAAATGCACAGGTTATCGGGTTCGGGTCATTCGAGTTTCAGGTTACAAAAATTTCTAATTTTCGCGCGGTTTCAGGTCGGGTCAACGGGTTGGATTGTAATTTGCCAGGTCTAGTCACATGAAATACGTTCAATTAATAGGGTTTCAATGTGGCTGATAACCTAATTAACTATAGATCAATGTATTGGTGGTCAGTTAACACAAAGCATTAAACAATTTAATAAAATTGAAATTGAAAGAAAATAAATATGAACTTATCAAGTAAAAAATAGTTATGTCCTATGGTGTTTCACCGTGAGAAACCAACCGAGAGATGTATCTCGCAGATCGCTCTCCATCTCCTACTTGGAATATTGCGCTTCGCTACTGGCTAATTACTCCAAGCTCTAGCTGCTCCGCTCGACAAGTCCGCACAAAGAATTTTGCTCTAAATCCCATTCCCCACAGCGAAACACTGCGGCCAAATATATATATGCTTTCTCCCTCCAAACGTTGCGTTCCACTCAGCTTCTCCTCTAAAAGAATCCCTGCCCAGCTGCTCTCTAATTCCCTTCCGCCAATGCTCTTCACTCCAGAACAAAGGAGTTGGTCCATTTTAATCCAAGAATTGCCCCCAAAGTGTCCCTTTTCACCGCCACCAGAAAGAGACAAAAGAGTTGGGCCATTTTTATCCTATAACTCCACCTTGCTGCTGCTAACAACCTTTTGTTAGGAAAAGGAAGCTCGTTCAAGCCAGTTTGATTTGGGATGGGTCATTGGTCGTACCACTTGTGGTATCTTGCTTGCGCATCAATCTTTTCTTGTTTCTCCACCTAAAATATATCAAAATTCTAACATAAGGTGGTAATAGCTTTGCAACCATTCCATAGTCAATTGGCTCTTAAACAAACATTATATGTGCCAAACATATCATGTAATAATCACATTAAGCACACAAAATCAATATGTTTTCGATAAATCTCAGATGTCGTATTTCCTTTCTCGTATCTTTCTTTCTTTGGTTATGTTCCCTTTAGTTATCTTGTGTTAAGTGTTTGTTTGCTTTTTGTTTTCTTTTCTTTGCACACTTGTGCTTTCATAGGTTGTTTTTGTCTTTGAGAATATAGATAGTGTTTAGGTGTAGCTATGGATCCATATTGGTGGAACGAGGAGTGGGGAGACCACCAACTGCAGAATTGGTGTTATCTTGAAGCTTCTGGTAGTGTTTCTAGCCAAGGATCCGAGTGTGAAGAACCAAACCCCTTTATGTGATCATCAAGAGTACTTTCCCTATTATCAAGCCTCGCCATCATATCAAAAAGAATTCCTTCCACAATCGAAGCCAAAAAGCCAATTGGAGCTTTTGGTGGAGCGATTTGTCCGGGATACCAAAGTAAGCTCCGATGTGGAATCCTCAACCACCACACCTGTCGACTCATCCCTTTTAAGGGCATCGGAGGAGATTCTTTGAAAACAGAGAGACTAGGAGAGGTTGTTCGACAAGTATGTGCACAACTAGCTCACAATCGACCCTTACCCGTCAAAGAGGAGAAGAAGGTCGAAGAAGAAAAGGAGGAGACCATAGGGACATCTTCCGTCATAGGAAGGCCCAGTCCTGCTTTTCAAAAATTCCTCAATGAGAAACGAGAATTGGACGAGACTTAGTAAGCAAAGATGAGAGATCTTATGCAAATTCGTTTTAGACTCGCTCAATTGCGCCTCCGTGATGCTAACGATGAAGAGGAAGAGGAGGCAGAAGAAGAGGAAGAGGAAGAGGCCTCCACGATGAACGAGCAAGAGGACAAAGAAGATCCATTAATTGAAGAACTTGCTTGTAAAACCATCATTGCTCCTAAACATCAAGAAGAAGAAACTAAACAAGGGAGCATTGATGGGGTTGAGAGGAAGGAGGAAGAAAGTAAAGAAGAGAAAGAGTTTGATACTCAACATGAGAAAAACACTTCACTAGAAGGAAAGGAGTTTGAAAACGCAATCGGAGTCCAACCAATGGACAAGGTCGAAGTGGATGAAGCTTCCACAAAGTATGCGTACTACTCAAGCTTTCCCCGACCTTGATACACTCTTAGATAACGATCCTTTTGCGGGTTCTCTTTGCCAAGATGAGGCCACGGTATCATCAATCCCTCTTGGTGGATCCGGTGATGACCCTTCAAGAATTCTTGATTTGGTTTGAGGCAAAGAGAAACGAAGAAAATTTGAATAGAGGTTTCATTGGAGGTGTCTCAAGCAACTACATCTACATGAGCCTTCACCGAATGATCGGGAGACCGATCAAGACTTGAGACTCCACTTGACCGATGAAAACTTCAACTTCAAGGAGGTCTTGAGCTGGACTGAGTACTTGAAGACAACGCTCTGGTGAAACGACCGAAAAGACATGCTAGTTGGTAGGCACCCCAACATAAGTTTGCATATCTTTCTTCTTTTTGCGACTCTTCTGCTTAGATTATATATTAAATTAGTTATTTAGATACTTATTAATTTGTTTTATTTCCTTTTTAATCAATAGTCCAATGCTAGGAATGTAATGTTTACCCTTGCCCTTCCCTTTAGCCTTAGTACCCTTTCCTCAAGCCCTAACCGGTAAGTTTGACAAAATGTGCTTTAATTTAGATTTTTCCTAGACAAATCAAAGATCACGAGCCTCGAGTAGTTCTTCACGACCGCGATCTTCTCCTTCTCATCATGCGAACTTTCCAGTGTCACTAAAGATTGCGGCATGTGGCACAAAGAAAACGGCCAGTAACTTCTGCCCCTAGCCCGCGATCTTGTCTGTATCTATAAAAGGACGATCAGGGGAGTTGCTCGGGCCAGATCCCCTCCCCCCCCCCCCCCCAATTCTCTCAATTTCCTGACCTAGAACTCAAGTTTGGAGACGAGGTGCTCGAATTTTCATCTCCCAACTCCGATTTCTTCATTTCTTCTTCATCTAATTCTGGTTTTGAGCTTCTAATCATGTCTGCAAGTAGCTCAAGGTAAGATTTTGACTCATTCCCTCAGTTTTTTTTTGGCGCCGAACAACAGAAGAGAAAGAACTCGAGTTCTAGCTCCCTTTTGTTTGGGAAATGAGGTTGTTCCTTGATTTTCTTAGTGAATGAGAGGTTATGCATGCTTGCTATGGACGTGGAGTGTGGATTCGAAGGCCTTGGTGGGAATGTGCTTGTGATTGAAAGATTTGAATTTTGAAAATTCTGCCAACCAAGTGCTCGATAATTTTCCCGAACCACACTCCCCTTATTGAAATTCCTTGACTACATGCTTGATTCTTTACTGGAATGATGTTGTTCAAACTTTGGGTTAGGCTTGAGCTTCCACGATTTCAATTTCGTAACTAGTTCTTGCGCATCGTTTTCCTGACTCTGCAGTTTGAGAACATGTTACCATGCATTGTTGGTGCACATTTTCGGCTCACTTAGGATTTAATTTCTGTTCATCCTAGAATGTAGATGAGTTCATTATGACTTATATTAAGACTCTACGGTTTTACTTTTCTTTCTCTTACCCCATAAATTGATTTTTCGACCCCCATTTTTCACCTTTGAGCATATTGTTCCTACCAAGTGGGGGGGGGGGGGGGGGGGGGGGGGGGGGGGAGGGGGAAGAATTCTTTGTGTTCTGACATTGTTTTACTACTTTGCATTGACTGAAGTTTGGATTTTCAAGAGAAATGACAGAGGGGAGGGCTCTGATCCTCCAGAGAGGCGGCCCCCCTTCTCTGGCATTCTCCAGTACTTAAGAAGGAATCACCGAAGGCATCGCCGGGCTGCTCTTGTTGAGACGGCTCCTAGACAGGAGGAGCCTCAGTATCATTTGCACCTCGAGCCTCCAGTGGATGAGGAGGTTAACAGCCACCCCAGCAGCCCAGAGGAGAGCATCAAGGGTGGTGATGCCCCATGTGAATCATGAGTTCCTCATGGCGATCTCATTCCTTTCTAGAGACCATCTTTAGCAATTCCAAGGGATTGCTAGAAGGGAGAGAGAGTGCCTTAACTAGGTGCTCTTTGCCCAGTTTGGAGTAGCAGACCAGATAACAGCCAAGATCAGAGACCCGGTGTGGCGCTGAGTCTTAGAGACAACGAGAGGATTTACAGAGTCCTCACACTAGAGTTCTTATGTACCCTACGGACCAAGATCGTCAAGGGGGCTACAATAGAGGACAATCCCCTTATCAAATTTAGTCTGGGAGGGGTCGAGTGGCAGATGATGATGAGAGAGTTCACTTTTGCTCTCGACATCTACCCTCCGGAATTCATCGCCGACCTTGACTCCTACAGCTCATTGAGGTCGGAGACTGACTTCCACTTTCCTCAGGACTTCTATGAGAATGTCATGAAGCTTCCTAACTGCCTACCCTAGGGTGTGAAGTTGTCAAAGGGGAGTGAGGTATTGCCTGAGTTTCGCCTCAATCACCATGTCATTTCTCGCTCAGTTGGCGGGAAACAAAGGAGTATGGGCAACCTCACGGCCAGAGATGTGGTCTACATCTGGAGCATGCAGAGTGACGCTCGACTTCACCTGGGACGATCTATATTGCACTCTTTTTTGCCATGGTTCAAATAAGAGACTGCTAGCACTACATGGAGGAGCCTACATCACTAGGATCGCCAGATTCCTTAGGTTTGACTTGCCTGCAGCCGAGAGTCAGCTGGATACCTACACGGTTCCAGTTCTGTTCTCACATATGAGGACCTTTTTGAAGACTTTGGAGTAGAAAGAGGAAGGTATATGGGGTGTTTGAGGACTGGAGTTCCCAGAGACCAACATAGTAGTTGTCGAGGGGATTAGTCATACTCTCCCGGGTCGTCCCAGTGGAAGGAGACATAGCTCATCTTCATCAAGGCCAACTCGTCACAGCTTCCATGTCGGGCAGTCCAGCCAACTTCAGACAGCTTCTGGTGGTGATATGCCCTCCTTTCCCGACTTTGAGACCATCTTGAGCAACCAACAGAGAGCTGCCAAGTGGAGGAGGCACATGTTTGACTACACTCATGAGTTGATGATGTTTCACGATCTCGCCCAACTTCTGTTCTCCACCCCTACGAGCGTACTCTCTCTCCACAACCCTACAGTTTTGCAGAAGGCATCGAGGAGGAAGAGGTTGAGACAGTTGAGGAAGAGGACTAGGCGTTGGGTGATCAATGGCACTTCAGGGCCATTCTCTAAAGTTTCCTTTCCCAGCTTGAACTATTGACGATTTTATTTGCATTACTTTCTACTTTGTTTCAGATATTAGTTTTCGGTGTGTTTAATTTTGCATTTCTACCTATTTTAGATTTTCTGTTTCAGTTTAACGCACTTCTACCTACTCTTTCTCTTAATGACTATATTCTCTTTTCTATGTATGTTATTGTGCTCTATGCTTTTGATCGTAGAGAATCTACACATTTATGCTCCATCTTTCTTCCCGGACTACAACAACCCAAATGGTAAACTTCTCATGATCCTAACCTAGAATTCCCATATTGTGTACAATGTGTCTCTCCAGTGTGTGTGTGGGGGGGGGGGGGGGGGGTACATTGCATAGTTTTAAAAGAGTTCACATTTGTTGCCATATAGATTAGTCAATTCCCTCAATAATGAATGTGAGACGTTTGTAATTGCTTGTTGGAATGTGACTGATTGGCTGAATAGGTTGTTGTAGTCAAAAGGCTAATATGACCGTGTTTTGGAACTTTGAATTTTATGCCCAAAATTTTCAAATTTGAGGGTTCCAAACATCTTGCTCCTTGGATATCCCTACTCAATTGGCTTTGATTTGATAGATGGTTGACGTGTTGTGCTCACTAGGTGATAGTTGCATGATTAGAGTACCGGTGTGTGAGGAATTTTACTATCTTCTTCCTCTTTTATGAGTAGATAATATTTGCTATTTTAGGAAAAACATGTATGCGGGGTTCTCTTATAGGTTAGAACTAGAAACGTTTACAAATTTGTGCTTAATGTTAGAAAATGAGGCTCACGTGAGAGGCAACCAATCCTCACGGATTCGGAGTGCCCTTTGAGGATATGCTTGGGGATTGGATAGCTTTACCTCTTTCTGACCATTTTTCACTACTTACCATCCCCAAGTATCTTTCCTCCTCATGGAATCGTATGCCAAGATCCAAAGTAACTTTTAGAAATTCATGATACCTCATAGCCATAGGTCTCGTTGTACCCAACATGTGTGGCAACCCAATGTGGAGTGCAGGCTGGGAAGTGGTGCTCGAACTAAGAAGAATCCGCCTATCAACTTCCACACATGTGACCTTGAAAGGGAAGGCTATGATTCATCTGTGCTTGGTCATATGAGGGAGAGATGATATTATGAAAAAGAAGTTTGCAAAAGTTCGGTGCAATGTGCATGAACGAGGGAAAAGAAGACCAATAAACGACAACTCCTAATTCTAAAAAGAGAATAAAATCACCTTCGAGAGTTCTAGTGTTTGTTTGTTGTTTGAGAATCCCTCGGAGCGCACCTTAAATGTTCGGCCAAGGGTAGTAAGTATGGTCCTCACCCGAGAGTTTGTGCTTCCACAGTAAGACGATAGTAACGTTCATTCATCTCCATCTACTCTTCTTTATGCAATGAAGAACTAGAATGCATTCCCCATTAATTTATCAATCATGTTGCATTGGTTTAAGTAGGTTTGCTTGGGGACAAGCAAACACCTAAGTTTGGGGGAGTTTGTTAACACCGGAATGGTGTTATTTACCTTCCATTTATTAGGTGAAATTGTGTTAAAATGATCTTCAATTGTTTTACAAAATGTCATTTGCATACCCATTTTGTTCCTTTTCATTTATGATAGCGTTTTGGGAGGCATTTGACATTATGAGCAAGGATGGGGAGGATATGGGCAAGAATATGTAGAAACAAGGATAAGAACCAGACAAGGCCAAGATTGCAGGTGAAGGGTTCAAGTTCCCGACCGCGAAGTCTTCCAGAAGATCGGGGGCCAAGGCTAAGAGATCACAACCGCAAAGTGGAGATTCCTGACCACGAACTCTGGAAGAAGTCGTCACTGGGAGAACAGAGAGTTTCCTCACTCTCTTTGCGGGCAACGTTGATCCGGATTGAGGAAAAAAATCACGCCCGCGACACACAAGTTCGTGGCCTCCTAACTCGTTCAAAACTACACCGCGAATTCTATCCCGACTAAAGCCCAAGTTTTTAAACTCTAGTTGGGTGCGGTATAGGGCAAGTATTTAATTGTCAAACCCGGCCCGGTCCATGTACCTCTACTTCAATCGCTTAAGTTGTTATCTAGCAAAACAGTTTTGGGTTTAAAACTAAGAAAACTACAAACTAAACAAGCAAGGAAAGAAAATGGAGGAGAATTCTACTCGAGAGGACTTCACCCTGGTATTGCTCCCCCTAGTCTCATGCTAAGAATAGACAAACAAAGCTCTAGTGTTAAGGAGGTGTTCATACACCGCGAGTTGGGTGCAACTAGCTAGGGACAAACTCCCTTAGTCGATCAATGAAGGAA